CCAAGTTGCTGTTCAGCAATTCAAGAAGAAGGGGATAAAAACATCGGAATGATAAATGAACGGTCATTAATACTACTGCTGACAACTACATCCTCCGCGTCGTTTTTCATCCTCAGTCTTACACTTCCGATCAATTAACCAAGAATCCATTTTCCATTCCCTCAACCCCGGATTAATGACAACGACCGGCCTACCTTGCATATTTCCCCGAAGGAAAAAAAATCACTATCTGGGGAGAAAAAAAAGATATCCCTCGATCTAATAAGATCTTTACTGGCTACTATCGTTAATCATTCTTTCCGCGAAGCCCTACATTTTTAGAATTCAATACAACATTTTATGCAAAATGCGATACAACTTTCACTGATATTTGTAATCCTTCGGACCATTTCCGTGGATAAAAAATTCTTTTTAAAACACCCTATTGATATCAACGTTCATTGCACCATAACACTGACGATTCCTCCAAGATCAATCTTTCCGTAAACGTCCTTAAGAAACCCTTAAATTACCGGGCTTAATTAATCTCGGCCGGAAAGTGAATTTTCTCGGCCACTGTAAGCCGGGAAAATGAAACACGCCTAAATTGAAGCCGCGCAACAATCGGGCGGATATTTAATCTCGACATTCCCCGTATCGATCGCGGATAAAATTTCAGCCGATAAGCGTTATCTCGGCAGCCTCTAGGTGTAAATCCGCGATTTCATAGAACGTGTCCGGGACTGTCGGAAACCGCAAAAGCAACCACTTGCACCTACAGTCGACGACCACCTGACCCACGGAGGTTGTTGCATATTTCCTTTTCCCGATTTTCTTGGGTTCTTCTCGTTAAAAAAAAAAATAAAAAAAAAATATAACAACCGAAATGGAAAAACGCCGGTCCATTTATCTCGACTGGGCGTCCTTTTCCTTTTCTCCCCTCTCCCCCGTCGGGAAAAGGGAACAGAAAGTCCCGATTCATTTATCTTCACCGCGATCGGAACAACGACCAAACTGGTTCCCGAGCTCCGTCGAAATGCAACGACAGAGAGTGCAACTCTGTATGCAAGTGCGCTTCAACCGCGCGTAAATTGCTTTATATCCCTCGGCCGTTCTTATTCCTAGCCGGAGGATCGTAACGCTTTTCTAGAATTACGGGAAGAGTTGCACCGAGTTACGTTTACAACGCCAGGTGTGCGCCCTAAGAGTGCTTTTTCCGCTGCAATTGCAGCTGCAATTGCAGCGTGAGGGGGTTAGAACGCGTAAGCGGGGGCTCGTTATCGAATTTATATTTTCCCCGTGGTTTCTCCGCTTTTCGAGAAACGTGGAGATATCATTTCCCGATGCATTATCAAGTTATCCCGATTTTCAGGAAAATTTCATTCTACCGCTGTTAGGTATTCCATTTTACGTCTTACAGACTGACGTCTAAGTCTCGCGGGCCAAGTCGAGGATTCAACCCCTTCGTCATTACGATCTCTCCGTACTCTGTATTAACTTAATTATGACACGCCGTTAAAAGTACTACAAATTTGACATTTTAGAGGCTGCACGTGTAGGTAGGCGAATTAGATAATTAAAAGTTAACCGGAGCGAAGGTATGTCTACGGCAGGTAATCCTATATAGAATAAAGACTGACTAAAGGAAACTGGAAAATGTCCCAGGATGTGGATTTTTCTCTCGGGGTAAAGCGAGCCCGAAACTAATGGAAGGGCAGTCCAAGTCGAGGAACTAATCGCCATAATCGTGGGAACGACGGGAACACGTAGGTCATCGAAATAACGCGGATGATTTACGCTAATGAGCGGAATGATACGGAGTTAAGTGACGAGAAAAGGAAGAAACGGGGGGAGGAGGGGAGAAAAAGGAAAATGTACCGAGTGATTAACGAGCCCTCGGCCCGGCCAGGGCGGGAAAATTTGGAAGGTTGCCTCGCGCCGTCTCGTTATCCGGGAAATCGCGGATTTAACGGAAGCCCCCGCGGTAATTTCTGCGTGTCGAGCTATCTTGGAGGGACCTGCATCTCCCGTGGCGTGTCCCGGGAGCGTGTCTAGAGTAGACAGTAATTGTGCAGCCCAGATATAGGCATGCCGAGAGAGTACAGGGGGCCATAAATTTTCACCTCGGCGAAGTTACCGAAGTGCGCCGGCAACCTGTTTCTCTCCTCGGCGAGAGCCGCTCCAAATTTCGATTTTACGCGCTGCCGCGGAATTCCTCCACGTTTTCCTTTTCTTTTTTCTTTCCCTCATTGAAAAAATAAATCGAATGAAAATGCATAACCAGGGTAGAAATGGAAGAGTCGAGACGTGTACAGGGCTTTCAAAGAGGCACCGAAAGTGTTTTTCACTTAGGATTTCATTTCTTAGGTGGTTGGCGATATGTGCCCATAATTATGAAAGTGGTCTAAGTCAAAATTAAAAAAAAAAAAAATGAGTTTATCAGTTATTTCACGCCATATCATTTCAAACGAAATTAATTCAATGTAATTTCGAAACAAAAAATATATGACTTAGACCACTTTCATAATTATGGGCACATATATATATTGTCACATTCTCTTTAATTCGTATATCAAGGAAAAGGGAGGGATAAATATATATTAGTTTAAAAATGAGACAATTATTCTACTTGGTTGAGAAAGATAAATTTTGAAAGACTGGTTCGAAAACGACCAACTGAAATTACAAAGCTCGAAACTTGTTCCCTGATATTGAATTACCGCGTGGTAATAACAATCGGCGTGTGATATTCTTAATTTTAGTACAGCTCTGTACACGTTGTATTCCTAAATCAAAGTAGACTCTACGATTTGGAGTACCGCGGGTCTCCGTAATATTTCCGGTGATTTTCTTAACAATCGCGGGATTTGCGACATCGGAGGCACGGCATTAAATTGTACGGCGATATGTGGGGCGATAATCGTGGCCTATCGGCGAGGTTCGATCTCGCGTGCGGAGCAGATAGAGGGATCGATGGATCGATGGATCGATCGCGGGAGGCGCGATGCCAGTGTCGATAGTGAAAACATTAATTCGAGGCGCCCGCCCGTTTACGTGGGCGCGTAAACTGCCGCCCGGGCGGAGATTAACGAGCTAAGGAAAGCGCACTTGCCGCGCACCGACGTCTCTCTCGTTTTCCCTTTTTTGCCCTCCCCCTCGTTTCACAGTTCCCTAATTAGCGAAAAAGCACAAACAAACAAATGCGCTCGGATCTAAAAAAAAAATATATATATATATTCTCTAAGCAGAAAATCCTGATTACGTCGTCGGAAGCGCACCCTCGCAAATTAAAGAGACTCATTGGATCTCCAAAAGAAGATGGAAATTTAGCTTAACCGTCGCGTTTGGTTTACCGAAGGACCTATTAGATTCGATTTAATAATTCGGTGTGTGCTCGAGGGAAGATCGATAGCGAAATACGTGATAAGTGTCGATATAGTAGAGACATTAATTCGAGGCGCCCGTCCGTTTACGTGGGCGTGTAAACTGCCGCCCGGGCGGAGATTAACGAGCCAAGGAAAGCGCATTAGCTGCGCATTAGAGGGCCCTAACTTCCATCGTATTTTACATCTCTTCACTTTTCCCGTCTCATCGGATCTGTCATTTCAAATGTCACGGATGCCCTCCTCGGCGCCTCCACCGTATTTTCCCCCTCCAAGAAGAGATGCTCAAGAAAAATCGGAAGAACAAATGGGAGAGAATAAGAGGATATTTTCGGAGATGCGGAGAAGTTTGTTCTGCTGGTTTAACTAATTCTTTTTTTTTTTTTTTTCCCTGTGTTCCTGGCAGAATAAATGTACCGAATCTATGTATAATCGATGCATCAACGGTACGATTCGCGTGTCGATACCGGAAAGATTAATTCGAAACGCCCAGAGGTTTATACGTGGGAGGGGAAATTACCACCCGGGCGGAAATTAACGAGCCAACGAAAGTGAATTAGCCGTGCATTAGTTCGCACTAATTCCTGCATTATTTTCCATCTCTTCGTCGCTTCTGTCCCTTTACTCCACGTTAACACACTTTCCCTTGAGGATAAAAACAACGGATCGATATTAATCGTCACTAGAGGAAGAAGACTAAATCCCTAAAAAAATTGATAAGTCAGTCGGAAATAATCCAAGTATGCTAAATAGTTGCTAAACAAATTTATCGATGATATTAAGTGGACTCGGTCTGTGAAATTAATTCGATGCTTAAAGAGGCATACTCGGGAGAAGGCATTGAAACCGCCTCGAGGATCTACGAAAGGCTTGAAATCGCAACAACGTCTTGTGTGTGCGAACAACGTTGTATCCTGATATCTTATCGGCTATCGAGAATCTCTTCGAAGTGGCCGCCATCGTAATGGCGAGATATGGTCGATATATGGGCCAGATAATTTCATAATATGCGCCGAGTTTAATACGGAGGTGTACAACAACTCCAGGTGACCCTTGAATTGCCGATAATTTTTTAATCAACTCATCTAAACGGAGTAAAAAAATAATATCCACAGTAACAACGCCTGTTCCGTTTTTAAACTACTTTATCACTCAGGACAAAAATTCGATCCTTTTCAAACCAATAGCAAAGTGGATGCAAATGGACTATTTAAGAACATTCCTAAGAGGGACTATCAAAATACGTTAAGAAATTAATTTCTAACAATTTTAGTTCTCATTTTCCCATTGATTAAAAAATCATCAATTTTCCACCTTCTCGTATCGAGGTATTGGAATCATCGCAAAGACACGTGCACGATTTATTTAGGCTTCCACGATTCTAATGTAAATAGTTGTCGATTATGCACCGATAAATGTAATTCCATTGAACCGAAGAAATAGGTTCACAATTCAAATAAACTCAAACCAATTGTTACAATTCCGGAGAAACGTTGCGTACGATTTATTCAAGTTTATATCAGTTGAATAATTATTCTTTGAATATTTCTTTGGAACCGTTTCTTTAGTTCAAGGATTTTTTTTTTTCTTTCTTAGGGTACAGGTGTTAGTAATAGAACATTGTGGCAGAGTACTCACCTCCGTACGCTGCTGTAACCTCTTGTTCAGCTCGTAGAACCTGTAGTCCGGTTGGCCGAAGTAAGGTGTGTGCCTCCTGGGGACAGGTAACGATCTGTCAGACCACAGACCGATCGGTCATGTTAGGGTGCTGTGTTCAGTGTACAAAGTGTGTGTCAAAGTGTTACCATGCACGCTTATTATACCGAGTACAACAACATATTAACGTATTCAAAATGATTTAACCCTCCAGGCCAAGGGTGTCGAAAAAAAATGACAAAAACTTGAATTTTTAAATACTCGAGAGGAAATTCTTTCAATTGTACGACTGTAAAAATGCCAATTATAACCCATGAAAATAACGTTAGAAGCCTCTCAACAGGTTGCATTACAATCGACAAATTATGTGACCCACTTGGCGACAAAACGTAATACGAATAATCGATTATCGGTACCGATCGAGATATCACTCTTAAGACCGGATTAACCAGATAGGCCGGGGCTTTGGAGACGCAGAAAAGAAGATTTACGAACAACGCAAATCGAGCCGAGGTTTCAATATTTCCCCGACAAAAAATCGGTTTCGTAATAAGAAAAGTGGAAATTTTCGCCGGCCCAGATGCATACATTACAAGCCAGGAAAAAAAAGGAAATAAAATGGAAAAGAAGCGAGTGGTCGATAAATTCGCCGTCGAGGGCTTCAACAAATACATAAAAACGAGAACATGGGAAAATAAGCGATAATTTTTGCCGGGATGATTTACGATTTTCTTTTTTACAGGTGGAGGTCATAGGTGCCGCGAAAGGCCGCGGCGAGCCGGTACTTGAAATCGGGCACGCGCGGCTCGACTTTCTCTCGTCACATCTGCAATGTTGGTTTTAGGGCAAAATCGTAAAGGGAAAAGTCGGCCGTCTCGTGGTGCCGAGCAACATTTGTCCGAGCGGTTTCTTCGTCGCGTCGATACTTCCCGAGATATCTCGGGATTTATCCGGGCGTAGTTTGAGGTGTCATGTTTCCCTTCCCCCTCGCGGTTCCCTTTCCTTTTTTTCCTCCCCTGGGTGGATGTCTGACATTATGCCGTCGGGATTACTGAAACCGAGACTGTGTACACGGGCACGTCGTTTACACGGACACATGGACGGAAAGAGAGGTAGCAGGGAGATCATTAAGAGGGAAGTGCAACGGTGATTAATAACGAGCGTGCGCGAGCCGGTAATAGAGAGCTCGTCTCGATTGGCGCCCCGATTCCACATCGCATGGAAACATAATATATGATGCTACAGCAATAGTGCCATTAACATATCAAGTGGAAATCGAAAACTACTCGGGAAACACGCCGTCTCGTTTTCCTACCAATTAAGCGCCTACGATAAGCGACGCGGAATCTGTCAAAAAATCGGGAAAACCTCGCGAGCGAAGAAGGAAAATACATTACCGCCGGATATTAAATTTTCATTTTCAAAGACATCTTATATTAACCCCACAAATTTTGCAGGACCTCGCGAGGCAACCCAGTAGACTTATTGAATACAGATGCACATGCACCCCTGTATTCGTTCCCGAGATTAAGAGAAACTCAGTGACAGCTCGCGTCATCGGCGTGTCTCGCGCTGACAGGCGAGACACGTGTTCGGCGTGGCGCCGCCCACGCTTAACATAACCTAATCACGGCGTTTAAAAACCCGACTGCGCGGTTGAATGGAGCGAAGCAGTAAAACCAGAGTTCATTCCTCGGAGTACCTTCGCCCGTTCTTATCAACTTACCGCGATGACAGGGATACACGTGTGTTGCCGCGCCACCTCGACCACGAGCGCTCGAAAAACCCGCAGTCAAGCGAAAATTTCATCCCCCGACAAGGGTTGCGGCCGTGTCAGGCATGTCGGCCGTGCCGGCCGCGTGTGCCATTAAACGGCGCCCCGTCGAGCTTATATAGCCTCGCGATGCGGGCCGCGCGATGCGGCGACCAATCGGGTGGCCGATCCGCCCGGTGCGCAGGAATACGGGCCGCTGATTGGTCGGCCAGTCGGCGGGCGCGCGTCACGTGCTCGGTGCGCTACCCATGGGTCCCGCAGTCCGCGGCGGACCGCCGGCCAGGGTTGCCATTACAGCTCCGATCGGAGTAGATGTACTACCATTAATGTGATTATTACTACTCTACGCCAACTTCTAACGTATTCAACTTCGTTTTATTCCTGAAATATTTCCTGATCCTAGGTCCGAATTCCGGGGCCCTTACCCCTCACGGTAATAAAGTTTATATGCATAACTTCGTATTAAAGATTTGCTTCTTATGTTGTTTATGTAAATATTTTGTACCAAGGAATAAATCTTATTTTCGTAATACGATAAGATGCTTATCCTGCAGATCCGATTATATGAATATTTCAAATACCCCTCTATATCCGCGATATTAGATTCAAGTTCCACCATTATCACAATGGTGGCGGTAACCCTAGTTTCTACTCCGATTTTTCGATGATTTCTCCTACCCTCTGGAACGCGACGGTGGCAACACTGCCGCGGGCGGATCAGCTGACCGGCCAGCTGGGCCGGGGCTGAGCACCCCTGGCTGCAGGGGTCTCAGATTGGGTTAGCGAAGGGCGCAGTTGGTGAGGGGGTGGGCGCTCCTCGGTAGGGTGCACATGGGGTGGCCCGGCGGGGGCACGGGGAAGAGGGTGTTATTAGGGGTTGCTCATGGGGTGGCAGGGCGATCAATGCCAGAGAGTCATGCTAGCCCCCTTGGAGTCTATATATAGATCTTATGTACGGGTCCCTCTCTCTCACTCTTACATAGGCGCACGTGTACCTATGCGTACATATGTCAGTACATACGTGCGGATATATACATATATATACTTATATATATACGCGCCCATGTGGGCACATGCAAGTATGTACCGCGCGGTATGTGCCGACCGCGTGTGTGTCTGAATCGCGCGTACGTGTGAATTTGTCAAGGCGTCCCTCTCTCTCTCTCTCTGTATCTCTCTATCTCGCTCTCTCTCGTTCTCCGCGGCGCATTTTGGTTCTACATCCCGCAACCGTGGCTGCGATGCGGATGCTGGGATGTGTGCTCTTACGGAGGTGCCACTGCACTGAGGCCTGCAAGCGACACCGAGAAGTTCCGCCGATTTTCGAAAGATCTTGCCAGCTCTAAGTACTAAGAAAGTCTAAAATCCTGTCGCGATGGGAGATGCACATATGAAGTACACAGAGAAAGGGAAAAAAAAATTCACGTTACGTGTACTTAATACATTTCCTAATTTGTAATTCCTTCATTTGACGTTTTTTTTTTTTTTTTTTTTTTTTCTATGTGATACTTCAGTTATGAGGTGTGCAAAAATGTATGTATATATGTTCCATGGATTTTTATGAGGGTAGTGTTCCAACCACCTCGCGATAAAAATTTACAGAAATCAAACGAAACGGAAGTGATCACTGATTTTTATACCTGGGCTCATTAAGGTTATCCAAATTATCGTCGTTCCGTGGTAAATGGAAATTACCCCCGCTAATTTCCATACACTCGGATTTATGTAATGCAAATAGGAGACGCGTTCATATTTCCCGCGCTCTTAACAGAGATCGAGCAAGATCAGGAAACTCGCGCACCTTGCGGACACCGCGCGGGGGAGTTTACTTTCTTGGTGCGGTAATTGTGCATTAAAAAGTCGCACGGGCTTCGAAACTTATTACGGTGATAACCATTAAAGAGCCGGGTATATTTCACGACGTGATACGAACACGCAGGGCGAGTACGCATGCGCGAGCGCCGACCGTGGCGAGGGCAGTTAACGCGCGAAAAAGGCCAAATAAAAAGATGGCCGACATAAGTACGGAGGCGAGGAAAAAATATCGGGCTATATCTCCGGACACACGCGATCTCCGCCATGGCGGGGAACAGGTGTGCACCTGCGTAGACGCATAAAAAAAACTTCAAAACGGAATCGCCGAAAGCGAATATATATATCGAGTCCACCACGCGACGGCGTCATTACAGGATACAAGGATATCGGCATCTTTTTTTTGGCGATTCAGATTGTATTACAAAAATGTGCATACCTAAAATTAATACTCAATGACGCCGTGTAAAGTCAGTTTAATCCTTCGCTACGTGAAGATTTTTTTCCCGTCTTCAATTAGTCGGTCGATTGATTCCTAAGTTGCGAAAATTATTTTTTTCGAGGTTAGGCGTAACGTCGTGTAAACACAGTGGACATAAGTGCGGGATAATGGAATCATGAATACCACGTGACCCCACTCGGCAATACTATTTCGAGGGATTATACAAGCGAGGGGATTAAACATAAGTGGGTATAAGTATGGTCGAGATAAGTACGGAGGTGAGGGAAAAATGTTAGGTTAGGTTACCGAACGTGATCGCCGTCTCCCCCAAGGCGAAAAACTCGCGCACCTGCAGAGGCGAATAAAACTGCAAAGTAGCCAATTCCTCGCGAGAAAGTGAATCTTATCGTAACATGTTGGATCATTAGTTAACTTGCACGTTAAATGTAAAAAGGAAATATAAACACGACCGATGTTACATACGGAGATGAAAGGAATATCGAGTTTTATACCTGGCAAGTTTTATCTCCGCGTTAGGGGATACAAATCTGCGGTAAAGGAGCGTTAACGTGACTCGGATAAAACATTAAATATTATTCCACACTCCGAGCGAGAGCCGTATAAAGATCTGCCCCGGTTTGACACCGGCATGAGGCTCGTAAAACTTCGCGCCACTCGCGGAATGTGAAACTTTTAACAGTACATAAAACGGCGAAACGGCCGATTCCTCCCAAGAAAGTGAATCTCACTCTCCCTTAACGGCGCCATTACAAAAGATGAGATAATCGACATTTTCCTTAAAATTATAGCCCCGAAGGCTTGACTTTTAAGGGGGCCTTTAACGTCCAGGTTTACCGAGATCGCAGTTTCCCGGATATTTTCCGAAATTATACCAGGGAACGGTCTAAAATATCGAACAGCGAATACTTAAACAATAAACGTGATTTACCGATTACGAAAACCGCACTGAATTTCGTACGGTATAACCTAAAAATGTTAAAACGCAACGATTCCCATTACGCGTGTTTACCCGAGGTCTCGAACGATA